TAGCCTAGCCCCATAGTAAGCACTGTAATGCTTGTGTTATGGGATACTAGAGTAACGGATAGAATACATATATTGTACACATATAAGTATATTTATATAGAAATACATATTAAACATCCATGACTGGAGTACAAATGCTCGTATTCATCACACAAACATCTGCCCCCACCGGGATTCGAACCAGGGACCTCTCGAGTCGGCGACACCATGAAACCCGGCGTACAAACCACTCGACCACGGAGGTCGTCAAATATAACAAACAACCATACGCATTGCAAAAAATAACACATTCAAAAGCACATGTAAGCATTAAATATAATGTACCTAGTTGTAATTATCAAAGCCTTTGTTCTCACATATGATAGACAGTATTTTTTATTTGCCAAAATAGGGACGTATCTTATTTATTTTCTTTTAATTAAATATTACCTTGATACTTTGTCAAATTTATTGATGTTTAAGCTCTTCGAAGAACAACAACAGGTAACTATTACAATTAACTATCTATAGACCAAGAAGTTCAAAATCTAGTTACTACATCTGAGCAAACCCTCTTGCGCTCGATCTCATATCGTCAAAAGATTTTCATCTCCTTTTTCGGAACGGCCAACTTGAGTAGGTACGAAATATGAGCTGGTATATCGTTATTAAAGAATATTAGACATCAAATCTAAATAAAAGAAGTACACCGATACCGTCGATTATTTAGTCAATGAAGCGATTCAAACATGCCTTGACCTCACCTCAAAAATAAAAATCAGTCAAGTGCGAGTCGGACACGCAAACGTATTTTAGTATACAATGTAAACTTGATCGAACGAAACAATTGACAACGAACGAATGCAAAATCCTTTTATTTTATAAGTTTATTTTATTTTATAAGTATCTGTGAGCATTTCAATAATCTACCCGTTTCCGTTCAAAAATAAAGTCTTGTGATCATCCTGTGACAGCTATCAGTCAGCAGTGGCTTATATTCCGTTTGTCAAACTTTCAGCACACCTTAAAGATAACCTGATGATGTCACAGCTCGTGTGCGAATAGCACATTAATAATGGCGACCCATCAGTGCATGCAGTGCAAACAATGCACAGGATAATAATAACCAATAGACTGCATTATGGCTGACAACGTGAACAACTCGACGCAAGCGACTCCTCATCGCTTAATGGGAGGTAACAGCCTCTTTGACTGCTCGCGCATTTAAAGGAAAAAAATATTGTCTACTTATTGTCAATCACGTTCTATAAAATGGGTTTCCAGGATTAATACCGTTGCAGCACACATTTACAAACGTTTTTATTTATCTTGCAATGCATGTTCGGGTTTTTGCATCTAACACTTAACCGATTAAAGTGAAATTTAGGAAACAAGTTAGTTTGGATAACAATGAATGGTTAGCTAAATGATGTATATGTGAATGACGAGGTAAGGGGAGGTGAATATCCCAGGCAAAGCGGATACCCTCCATTATTACAAAACGGTGCTCCTAAGAACGTTTCCGTCGCGGCACGAGGTGCTACTCACTGCCTTTAGTCATAAACAAATAGAACTAGCGCGAGATCAGATGACGATTGCAAAAAAATAGTAAAAACACTAAACTTAATTTTGCATATGACATTTTTAAGATACGTTATTCTGTAATAACTGAAGTGTATAACTACTGTCTTGGTTAGATTCTCTAATAAAAGTACATGTTATTTAGCAGAAATACTGTTAGTTTTAATGGGACTCTGTTTCTAGATCTGGTTTTAGACGTTTGGTTAAATTCAAAAAGTACCCGCTAGGACAAAGTAAACACGGGCTGGAAATTTTGCGCGCTATTTTTGTGAAGACGATTAAATAGAAATCAACGAACAGTCTGTCGATGAGAGGCTCCAATTTAATTCCTTCAAGTAATGGAGTCACGAGAAATGCACGGCTTGCGAGGTAATGAAATATTTCTTTGTGACAATTTGCACCTATGACTAATTAATTATGTTTTTTATTAGTGCGTCCTTTATATATTTATATTTTAATATTTTTCGGCGTTCGATCCTTAATTAGCCGTATTTCATTCTGTTCTATGAGCCTATTCACTTTGTCCGGTGGATTGGGCAAAACGGACAGTGGTACCAATTTTAAAGGGATCAACAAATTTTAACTAAACTACTGATGCTACGTGATGTCTGTTGATTATATTATAAAATTTATTAAGTACTCTTCCAAATTAAGTCATTATATTTATCTGTCTGTAACAGCCCCTTTTACATAGCCCGCCCAAGGGTAAGATGTCCACTTTGCCCGGCCTTCCCCTACATATTGTTCACGCCTAATTTCTTCGTTCACGGAGGAATTGATTTCCATTTACTAAAATTCTTACAATCCAGACACCTCTTTCGCTCCCTGCGCATTCATTGATCGCTACACTAATTCAGTGTGGCTGTTATGATAAAAATAACTTTTGACACCACTTTTTTAATGTTGTCTTGGTCGGTAAATGTTTTCCTCGGATATCCTTTGTCAACATTTCCAAGTTCATCGGCTAATTCAAACTCCATCGACGATCATCTCTCGTCCATTCCATCCAAGTAATCTAGCCACCTAAACTTGCTTCTTTAAATTTTTGTGACATGCTTTGATAGTAAAATTGTTAGGTAAGTAGAACACTCCATTCCCGATATGAAATAGTAGATTGTTAACCGAGGGTGGAAAGAATCAATTCCCGAGGTATTTAGACGCCCGAGCGCAGCGAGGGCGGCTATAGTCCGAGTAGGAATTGATTCTTTTACCCGAGTTAAACACTGTACTTTTCATTTCGAATATGAGGAAAATAAAACTAGTTGTTTAACAAAAATATTTATTCATAAATAGTTATATATATACCATAAAATTAGAAGTAGCTATTTAAAATACAAATTTGGCTGTTTTGGATATCTGTAAAAGTAGGACACTCTGTTATTTCATCAAACGATGGATTCCATGGCGGATACTCCCTGGAAGTTGTCTGGTGAGGCGAATTGTAGGAGCCTGTAGTTTGCTAGACAGTCCATTAAAATATGTAAGAAATACACTTTCGGAAAACGATTTTATATTCTTCTCTGCTCACCACTTTATAAAATCATTGTATGTATTTATATATCTCTTTTTTAACATTTCTGGCAAAATATTCTCTATAACAATATTTGCCTCGTCTTTAATTGAATCCGGTGTCAACATTTCTGAATCGCTTGAACTCATTTTTAATATTCAAAGTTGGATTGCTCTGTTTTACTTAAAAGATTATTTTTTTATTCCATCACATAACAGATGCATAACATTTTAGTATCCCGCCAATTTATGTCGACTTTTTAAATTTAAATATGGAACAGCGTAATTGTTGCGGCTTATTCCACTCAACGAAGTTTGTGCTAAGTTCACACTGGCTGTTTCCGAGAATGAAGAGAGAAGAAACAACACCACTTTCCGAGAATGAGAAATGAAAACATATTTTAGCAACATGCCCGGTTCGGAAATAAAATGAGCTGGGAATGCAGCCGAGCAATATTGTCAACATCGCGTCACAACTCTCAAAGTAAATAAAATACTTTGAATATTTACACTCTGAACGAATGTTCACTGAGGAATGAGGAATACAAATATATCTAACATATGCACAGGTACAATTTACATGCGCTTAATATAAAAAATATTTAATTTTGCATGTACCTACCTTTGGTTTTTGTATTGCTATTTATTTAAATAATTATTTATATTTGATTTTTTACATAATGATCCGATGCACACACCATTATAACTTTATTTTAAATAAGCTATTGTTACTGAAAATATATAGAATTATAACCAATATGAGTGTCAATGCATGTTTTATGGCAAGTGTGGAGGTATATACTTGTATTTACAAATTCTCTGGAGTTATTTTAATTCAGATAATTATAAAAACATACTTTTGTCGACATTTTAATGGAGATTACATTTATTTCAAAATTGAGTTACAGGTACAGGGTCATTCGATTGGTACTAATTATAAATGGATTCTTTAAGACAAACATTATATGATCTGGACAGTTTTAGTGTTTCTCAGTCGTTTGTAGTTTCTGCTGATCAGTGTTCTATGTATGTAGACACAAATTTAGACAATTTAACCTTATTTCATGTAAATATCCGAAGTGTACTACGAAACTTTGATGAACTTTGTGTACTATTAAATAGAATAAAAATAAAATGCGACGTTAATATCTTGGCAGAATGTTGGCTCAGTAAAACGCACACCATACCAGAGATTTATGGATACACTTCCTATGGGTCTACGTATAGAAATCAAAATGAAGGGGTAATAATAAATGCTAAAAAAGAATTAAATTGTAAAATTAGTGCCCCAAATTTTAGGGACGGAAACTGTTTAATATTGACCTGGGGAACAGAATTAGCTGTTGTTGCAATTTACCGTTCTCCCTCCTACAACCCTAACAGTAACTTTTTTGTCTGTCTCGATGAAACCCTTGAAAATCTTACTATGTATAAAAACTTAGTGTAAATAGGTGACATAAATATTAATATTACACCAGAAAATACTGACTCCCACTCGGAGCAGTATTTAAATCAGACCGCAGCCCGAGGCATTTTATCCGCTCATTTATTCCCCACACGGGAAAGTAGGTGTCTAGATCATGTCTTAAGAGCCCTTTTACAAAATTGCGCCTCTCTTGTTTCTAAATCAAGGACCGATATGGGTACCCGTATAGGTGTTTTAATCGGTTTAATTTTAACGATTAGGTTAAAAACCCGACATAAAGGGTTAACCTGTATAATTGATTAATAACCTCTATATAAACCGGTTCTTACGTAGAGTCCTTTTTTGTTCAAAATTCATACATAGAAAGAGACACACGGCTAGCTAGCTGTGATTGGCCCTTCAGTGAAGTGACGAGTATGACTTGACATGACCTCGTCGTCATTACACCAAGCTAAATTGATTCTTTGGTGCTTTCTCTTAAAGTTTATTTGCGAGTAATTTGTATTGATTGTATTGTAATTGTAGCACGTGCCGCTTGCTGCCCGGTATTACCTATTGTTTATTTACTTCGATCACTTTCTTTATAAGCTGAGCTGAATCATCGAAAGTTTTGCGTTATATTATAAATATAACGCAAAACTTCTAATCTAAAATCTAGTTCATTTACATTTTTAATAATAAACTAACTAAGTGCTTCTGTGTGATTGAACTGTGATAATGCCAAAAGTGAAAAAAGATGCAGTTCATAGGCACTTTACGTATGAAGAAGAGACGAATTACAGATTACAGTCAGTGCATACATTGCCAAGGTAAAATAAAGGTAGGTACCTATGTTATATTATATTATTTTTTTGCTTTGATTATGTGAGGTATGGTATGAACATTGTGTAGGTATTTATAAAATAAATAGGTAGGTACGTACACAGGTACAGCAATCTATTAGGTACTTAGTACATTAAACAAAAGTTGAGTAAAAAAAGTTTTAAACGCTTTTATAATAGTAGTATTTATTTATATGTTTTTATATTATTACTAGCTTTTGCCCGCGGCTTCGCTCGCGTTAGATTTGATTTTGAGTAAATGAACTCCATACTATTATGTATAACTGAGCGCTGCGCGTTCTCCGCACTCTATCTCAAAAGCAATTAATCGTAAAACAAAATGCTTGACACTGACACACAAATTGTAGAGAATTTAGTGCTGTACAATTTTTATAATAGGTGCAAATAAGATCGAACGCATAGAAAGCGAGATATTTGCGAAAAACGGATTTGTGACCTTTGACCTTGAATATCTGAAGAAGCCGTCATGAGATTCAGGGCCGTGCCTGGGTATATGGCCGCCTGCGTGCCAGTCTGTATGGCCGCCCCCAGGATAACATTAAAAAAAACTACTTTAATTTTTAATGTTTATTATTATACACAGGGCATCAAACCGGGAAAAAAATCAGTTTTTGGTTAACCGAAATCGAGAACGAAAAAAAATATTGGTTTTGTTCCCAAAACCGGTTTCTGAAAAGAAAAACCGGCTAAAAACCGGTTTTATGAGATTTATATGTTTGGATGAAATTTAAGAAAAAAAAATGGTTGCCTGTAAAGTCGGTTTTACGGGCGAAGATTTTACGTGACAACGTCTTTTTCTCGGTAGAATATTTATTGATATGAATATAATTAAATTGCACAATAGGAACAAGGAATTGAATGAAAATAAGAATTGCACAAATTTTAACTATAGAAATATATTTTGTTTACTAAAACATTGTACATGTAAACTTAAACTTAACACGAGAGACTCATCGTAACGTTACCGAGCGTTACACTTTTTCATAAGTGACTCCCAGCCGCAACCTAATTTAAGACGTTGTCACGTCAAAAATGCACAAAATAAACATTTTTTTATTTAAAATTTAAACAAAAATAATAACATGAAAAAAATGGTTGCCTGTAAAGTCGGTTTTACGGGCGAAGATTTTACGTGACAACGTCTTTTTCTCGGTAGAATATTTATTGATATGAATATAATTAAATTGCACAATAGGAACAAGGAATTGAATGAAAATAAGAATTGCACAAATTTTAACTATAGAAATATATTTTGTTTACTAAAACATTGTACATGTAAACTTAAACTTAACACGAGAGACTCATCGTATCGTTACCGAGCGTTACACTTTTTCATAAGTGACTCCCAGCCGCAACCTAATTTAAGACGTTGTCACGTCAAAAACCTTCTCTCTGACATTGGAAATATTATGAGTACATTCCACTACTTGTCTTATTGTTTTAAAGCGTTTTAGAAATAATATCGATCGGGAACAATGACAACAACAAATCGATTAATTTAAACTCATAAAAGGTAATTTATTACGTTGTACATTTTGGATCCGGACATCCAGAGACGTCCTACTCCAGTCCAGTCTAGCGGAGCTCCTGAACGTCAAAAGTAGTTTTACTAACACACGTTACTACTATCTACATGTAGGTATGAAAGTAATTTCCAAGCTCCTATTGCCATCTACCGGAACATTATATAAATGTTTCCTTCAATATGCATAGATGGCGCTGCAAGCAGCATTAGCAACTTTTCTCCCGAGTTTAACTCTCCTAATCCAAGATTAGTCAGCTCTAATTTGTAACGCGGTACCAGGAGTGCATACCTGCGAAGTGGTTGGCGTTATTTGGATTGGCAACGTGCGCAACTTCGTGCTTAAGTTTAGGGTGCGGGGGGGAGACGCTTCCATTCGTGCTACGGATCGCGGCGGCGAAGAGGTAATCTGAAACGGAAAAGTACTTGTAACCAAAACATCGCGAAATTATGTACTATTGCATAATAATTGAATTACGCGCTACTCATCATTTATATTGAATTATTATTTCATTTGCCGATTGAGTACAAGCTCGTAAATTGGTGATTTAGTTACGTAAGTAACTTACACTTATAGGAATTCCTAAAACTTGATTAGTGATAGTTTCGTCCCTATCTTTGTCTTCACAAGTAGGATCTGAAATAAACAAATAACTTTATTTACTTCTACTAGTTTAAATGAAAAAAACATGATATTTCAATTTCTAAATGTTTATCTCGTTTATGCTAATTAAAAATAACAAGCGATTACTACAACTAGACAGCGCTACTTGCATAGAGTAGTGTTAAACTGCTGTTTTGAATAACGGAAAATACGTCAAAGCTGCTAACGTGCATTATTAGTGCGAAGACGGCTTTAATAATAATAAATATATTTTGTTTATTTATTAAGTTTTATTGGCTTGGTCATAAGCGCCAAATATTAAATAATCTCTACCACGTGTACTAGGAGCGCATGATACGCGCGGAGGTAAACGTACCGATACTCCTAGGTCGAACAGAGGCGCGCACCGACACCTCTCTCTTGAGAGCGGCGAGGCGTTGTTGCGCCGTGATCTTTTCGCGAGCCAGTCGCTCCATTTCGTGCTCACACTCGCGCTCCTTGCGTCGTAGCACCTGCGAACAAAGTACCAGGGGCACATGAAGCGGGAGGAAATATTCGTTTAGATATAAAACACCGGGCTCAAACAAATTGTGTGTTTCAGATGTTTTTGTTAGTTTTCTTGTGATGGCCCCTTAAATCACAGTCACATTTCTATAACACAAACACACATTCATTCGTAAATCAAATTTATTTATTGCTGAAACTGTTGATAAAGTTCGCAATATTCAACGAACCCATTCGATTTGATGACTATAGAAACAAATTTGAGAACGTTAAACAAAGAACAAAAACGAAGTACATCGATGGTACAGTGAATAGGCACCAAGTCAATAAAACAGCTTACCTATTCAAATGAAAAAATGAAAATTTAACAATGAAATACGAAATGAAAAGTTGGGACGAACTCGTAAGGAAGCCATACAATAAGCTCATTAAAAAATATTCTGACCAAAGTATATTGACATGTTTTCAACAAACATTTCTCAATGGAGAAGTCTTAGAAAATAAAACATGGTTACGTTATTGAACGTTACTTCGCTCTTTTATGTGGCCCTAGTAGCTTCGTAATTCTTCTTTGCAAAAAACACGTTTGCTTTTGAAATTTCTTCCTGAAAGAAGCAAAGTTAGTTAAGAAATCATTGCTTTCTTTACTTTCTTTGAAAGGTTTCAGACAAAAGGTACTTAATACAGAGAAACAAATTATGAAAAAAATATTTATTTATTTCAATGGGCGTTTAATTTATTTGCCCCACATTCACCTTAATATATTCGAAATGGAAGATGTTGCTAAGTTAGCTAAACATCTTGTTCCAGATTGTAGTATGCAGAACTTTATTGTTTATAAATTTTCATGTACAAGTATGAAAGATTTGCCAGTACTAGATTTCCAAATTAATAACACGTGATTATCGATTGTTACAATTAACATAGGAAATACATATATTATTATACAAAACCACTAACTAAATAAATTTATATTTCTTACACACACCAATAAGCCTAACATCAAAGTAAGCACTGTCAGGCTTTTGTTAAGGGATACTAGGTTAACAGATATAATACCTACTTATACTTCTACATATATAAGTATATATATGTATTTAGAAATACATAAATTATAGGTACGAATGCTAGTATTCATCACACAAACATTTGTCCCACTGCGATTCATACCCGGGACCTTTGAGTAGGCGACACCTTGAAAACCGCCGTATACCACTCGCTACGGAGGTCGTCAAAGTTGAAGATCTCTCCCGATATAAATGTTACAGTTAAAACCAGATTTATGATACAACGCGTTTTCCCTAGTTAGAACTAGGTTTTACTAAATGCCTTTGTTAAATCTAGAATTGACTAATGCTCAAAATGGAATATCAGTTAAAACTAGTTCTTACTAGACAACACGCGTTTTTCCGAAGCGAGTCAGTTAAAACAGTTCTCAATAGCCACACCACCTGAATAATCTATGGCATAATAATGCCAATTTCTAACAAAATCCATATGAAAAATTAATAAAAAAAAAGGCAACAATTTCGGATCAGGCTTTATGATTTTATACAACAAGTTTAGAATTAAATGTTTTCGTTTTTTCCAATTATATAATTAATTTAATCATTTAACATATTAATAATAATTTTATAAATTTCAAAAATTAAGTACATTATGTCATTGTCCATAATATTACAATATTTTTTCAAATTTTTAATTTACTTTTTGCCTCTCCTGAAAAATTGGCTTTTGGCGGTTACGATAATTCATATTACAAGTGACGATGTGACTCTGTGTCTTAGATATTTTTAATAATTTTTAAAAACTAAATCTTGTTTTCAATCCAAAATTAGTTTCTCTAGTACTAGTTTTAACTAATGCTGACGAAAGATTGACAACTAGTTTTATCTGAAAATCAAATATATCAGTGGTATAATTTTTATTATTTTTAAAGCATGTAACTGCTTGATGTTTAAATCTAAAGAAAATATAACTAGAAAAAATTCAATAATAATTGGTCAGTGCATTCGCCCGGATTGCGAAGGGTGCGGGTTCGAGTCCCGTCTGCTGCCTGGTCCGCGTGGAATTTTTTCTAGTTATATTTTCTTTAGATTTAAACATCAAGCAGTTACATGCTTTAAAAATAATAAAAATTATAACTATAATTGCTATTTCTTCTTTCAAATGTTTAATACTTGTAAAAGTATTCATTTGACATTGTGGGTTTACCTATAATGCGAAGAGATGGCGCTGCCCTGCAGCTTAAGAATAGCTAGAAAGAATTTCGACGCGGTCCATGAGGGCCGCGGTAGCATAATTGGTCAGTGCATTCGCCCGGATTGCGAAGGGTGCGGGTTCGAGTC